CTCTCCCAGAGCCCATTGTTCCAGCTCCACTCTGCAGTGGCAGTTTTTACCCTGGCAGAGAGGCAGACATGACTTTCCTGTAGCATTTGGATGACGACTTTCCTGTATCATGAAAAAACCCAAGCCCCAAAGCCACAGCTTTGCCAACATCCAGCAGATCTTGCCTTGGCAGCTGATTTCATTGCCTGATCTAGTTAGTGGCAACTACATCAGCAAATACGTGTTTCCTTCTCGGAGGATTCCCAGCAGCTTGGCAGCCTTTTTGGAAGAGGGATTTTGCTATTCTAACTAACTGTACTATTCCAAGGATTCTTATATGAAAAGAATCTCTGCAGTGCTTGTTGGTCCCTTAAGCACAGCTGCCATAAAACAAAACTCATCCAGCTTTTTGTCCTGTTCTTGAAAATGATGGTAATTGGAAGAAAAGAAAGGAAATGCAGCAGGTGTTCCTCAGGGAAGGAAACAAACCTTTGGAATCTCATTTTCAACACAGACACATTAAGATGCCTCCACAATTGTAGTGGGTTGAAAATGCCTGTTTGGGCACACAGGAACCACCTGCAGCTCTGTCTCTCAGCACTCTGAAAATTTCAGGTTCCCTTAGGTGGCAAAAGGAAAATATTCATGGTGAAATCAGAAGTGTCATCCCTGTGGTAACCCTGTGCTCGTTGGATTCTCAAGTCAATGCATTAACGCTGTGCCCATCCCAGAAAGTGCCAGGAAACAAACAGGAGGTTTTGGCAGGCTCTCCCCGTCACCAGGCTCCAGCTTGGTGATATGGAGAAAGTGGCTTGGGTTAGGAAAGAAGGTGGTCACTGAGTGTCTCAGCAGCACTGCACAAGAAGCAGAAGAGACTCTGGCTTTACAGCCTCATCTCCAGGTTTCAGGCAAGTTTCCCTGTGAGAAGAATGGGGCTGCACTTCTTCTCTCAAAAGCACTGTTTTAGAAACTTGGTTTGGTTTGAGTTTCTTTGCTTCATTTCTGGAAAGATAACAGCAGCTCTGAGATGCTTGTTTCCTATTCTTGGGGCCATCTACACAGCCAAAAGAGCTGGAACGACTTGTAAGGCAAAGCAAAATGCTGCCTGAGAATGGAGATGGTTTGGGCGAGGTAAGGCTTGAGTTCCCCCAGTGCTGCAACCAAAGCTCCAGCAGATGCTGATGTGCTGCAGGGCCATTTGTAGAAGGGGCCTTGGTGGAAGTACTTCCAGCAGATGGCCATGGGATTTTGTGCAGTGAGCAGAGAACACGGGACAGGTGAGAAAGACAGCGGGATCAGAGAGTATTTGCTCCTTACCGATCGAGCAGTGAAACTGTCATAAGGAGTTTTTTGTTCGGCCATTTCAATTGCCACAATTCCAAAAGACCACACGTCCACTTTGGGGCCATATGGTTGACGCTTCACCACTTCAGGTGCCATCCACCAAGGAGTCCCGGTCACCGAGCACCGCTGATTTTGCTCAGGGGTGAGCTGAGCAGAAAGGCCAAAATCAGCTGAGGAGAAAGCAAAATACTCTTTTAATTTTAATACTCTCAATTAGGAAACCAAGCCAGAGAATTCCCCAGTGGAAGTTTGAGAATGTGCAGTTGAATTTCCTGGACAACACTCCCTGCTCTCTTTCCTTAGGGCTTTAGCCAAGGAAATATGAATTGGCTACTTCAAACATCCCCCCATTTCTTACACTTCCTCCAGCAGTGCCTTTTGTTCCCCTGAAGGTTTAGATTGCAGCTCCCTCCCTCTGGAAGGAACACACACAGACACACACAGAGCAATAGCACTCTTGGCTGCTTGTGGTTCCTTGTCATAGCTGTGTGCACCCTGCAACTGTGCCTTCAGCCCACAGCAGGGGGGACCCCTGCACTGCCAGCAGCAGCATTTTTGGGGAGCTGGCAGTCACTGAAAGCAGCCCCACACCCCCCATTCCTGGAAGGCTGAAGCTGAGCAAGAATACACTGACCCAGCTTGACAGAGCCGTCGGTTCTGAGAAGGATGTTGTTGCTCTTGACATCTCGATGGATCACGTGGTTGGAGTGAAGAAAATCCAGTCCTTGCAGGCACTGAGAGAGAAAAGAGAACCAGGGGGGCAAAAAGTAGTGCTGTGAGTTCATCGCACAAGCAAGGAAACAGCTGTGGAAGGTTCCCTTTGCAGGGGAATGGGGAGGAATGGCAGAACACAGCGCCATTGAGAGCAAGAGCCTGCTGCTCCAACAGGAGCAGAGCAGCACCTTTCTCAGGAAAGGCATGTCAGCTTTTGAAAGAGCACCAGCAACTGCTGTTGTAGACTGTCCCCTGCAAAGCAGCCAGGGTGACTGCAGCTGCAGTGCATGTGCTCAGAAGCAAACAGCATTTGGGCTGCACTACTATCCTTTTCAGCTGAGGACTAAAAGAAATTAGTCTCTCTTTTTTTCTTTCCTGTTTGTTTCAAATCCTGCCAGCACACCTTTGCTTTAGAGACAAGGAATGTAGTGCAGACAGGCAAAAGTTTAGCTAGGCAAGGTGGAGAAGTGCAAATGCCAATGCGAGAGACAGAGCTAGAATACAAGAGCAGGGGATAAGAGGACAGGAAGTGAGTCCAGTGAGTGTAGGGGCACTGGCAGACAGTTCCCTTGAGATGCTCTTGCTTGCCCATAGCCTAGCAGCAGCACAGAAACCAAGCCTGGCCCATGAAATCCCTCCCGTTCTGAGCCCCTGTTTCCCAGACAATGCAGCTCAAGGCCTTGGAAGCACAGATGGGATCCCTGACCTCCCGACTGACAGCTGCAATCTCTCCTTCAGACATTTGAATCTCGTCAATGAGATCTCTCAGAGTGCCTCCGTCCATGTACTCCATCACCAGCCAGAGTTCCTCATGCACAAGGTAGCTGAAAAAAGGAAACAAGGCCATGCAGGTGAACATGCATGGCTAGGTTGGTTTTTTGCTTGAGTCTTGTTTCTGGGTCCCTTGGAGACAAGGGCAGAAGTAAAGGCATAGACATTGCCTCTAGGCTGTGCAGTGTTTGCAGTCTGTGCTGTCTCAAGGAGAAAGGCAGTTTAGGAAGAGCCCAGATAAAAAACCTGTCACGCATGGCATTTCTGGAAATAAGCACCTAGTCTTCCTGGCATGCACAGCAATGGAAAAGAGGGGCAACAATGCAAGGGCAATCCTCTCTTGGATGGTTCATCAGCATTTAAGAAACTTGAAAAACTCAAGCCCAAAGAACTGTGGAGGCAATGAACTTAGAAGGTATTGAATTCTTAAGATAGGGCTGATGCAGGTTTTTGAACAATTTTCAGTCTGCATTTGCCAGGGTGGATTCATGCAGACAAAATGCAGTCTCTTCCCATCCATTGGAGATAAGTAGAGAAATAATCATTAACAGCTCTATTTCCTGCCACTGACCAAAGTGGGTTTTTAAGCTCTCATGCTTGTAGTATGTAAACAAACATTCAAGGGATAGGACCGTGACCACTCACCTGGCTAAGTAATTCACGATCCTGGGACTCCTATTACTCTCCATGATCCTGATTTCATTCATGGTTAGTATCTTCCTACTCACTCCTTGCACATTTATTTTCTTTATGGCCACCTCAAATGACATTGAAAGGAGTAATTTGAGAAAATTGGTAGCATGAGACCACAACACACATGGAGCAAGTGATTTTGGAATGGCACAGCCAAGCTGTGCCCAAGTGCCTTGTGATTAGACCTCATCACTGGAGTAATTAGGGAGTGACATTGCAACAGCCCATTTCTCTGCTCCCTTGGGGGTCAGTTACAGGACATGTGGCCACTGGCGATTTGTCCCTTGGTAACTAAGGTGTATCAACAATCACCCACCAAGCTCTGACCACACTCTCTGCTGCTCTGCTTGGTTCAAAAGAAGGAATGGGTGCCTTGGTTCTCTGTGGATACATCCTGGGCTATGGGCAGGGCTCAGGGCTTTTAGGAACATCTTGCAGATCTCTCCCTACGTGTGGCTCCCAAGTGCAGCACTGCACGTGTCTAGGGAACTACCAGGAGCATTCAGATGTATTTGCTGGCAGCCAGAAATGAGAATTCAGGACTCTGAAGCTGTAGCCCCAAAAAGCAGTGAGGTGCTCTAAGACACCACCTTTGTTTTAGCAATTGAGAGCGTGTGGGGGCGTCCTTCTCTGAAAGGAACCGCTGCCCTCCTTGTCTTCCTACGGGCAGCTGAGGAGGACAAAGCCTGTTCCAAGTGCAATTTGCAGGCTGGCTCCAGTCTGTGCTTCTTGTGCCTTTTCAGCACAGCTCTACTCAAAGCTCCAGCCACAGCTGTCAGCAGTGGGGAAAGGCCTGGAGAGCAGCAGAGGCTGCAGGGGCTGTTGACATTTACCTCTCCTCCTGTTGCAGTGTCAAGTGCTCTGGAAACCTCTCCAAAACCCCTAGAAACAAAACAGCAGCAAAGAAAGGAGAAGCCATTTAGATCTTGCAGTGGAAGCCAGTCCAGACAGGAGAGCTCTGCTGTAAATGCCTAAAAGCTGCAGGTTGCAGGAGGAGTCTGCCAGAAGGCAGATGATGCATTTTCCCCTCAAGTGCCTGGGCACTGGGCCTGTTCCTGAAGCCTTGGGCTTTACTGCCTCAGCTCCAAAAGGCAGCTTATTCCTTCAAGCAGATTTCCCAGGTTCTGTTCCTTGCTGCAGGCAAGACCTTGGCAGCATGGAGATGTCTTTGACAATGCCTTCTGAGCACACTTGACAAATTCTGGCCAGTACTGAGAGATGGGGCAGACTAAGCCCGCTGTCTAAACATGTGGACAACTTGTCTGACTTCTCACTTGATGGATATTCCCCCAGGGAAACACCTGGCCCATGGCTGTGTAGAAGTGACTGTGGTTGGACTCACCCGCTGCCAAGACTTTCCAGTTCAATGTATTTTGTGACAGGATTTTCCTTGTTCACCATTCTCCCTGAGGGAAACAAAATGCAAGATGCTGACTTTCAGGCAGAGATCCCAACTTGCAGGAGATGCCAAAGGCAGCCCCGCTGTCTGGGGCTCTGAACCCTCTGTGGTCAGCTGGGCAGCAAGCACAGCAGCAACAAGACAGGCAGTTGTGCAGTACAAATGGGCAGCAGAGAGACTGATTTTGTCTCCAGTCCTTGGAAGGAAATGAAGCGCAGAGAGCACAGCAGGGCACAGCACAAGGCTGGCAAAGGCCAAGCATGAGCACTGACAAGCAATGGCAAGAAGACACAGCCAGCCTGAGCCCCTGTCAAGCTTGTAGCAAATATCTGTTTCTTCATTGTGGGCCCAATGAAAACATCTCTCGCTCTCTTCTGCTGTCACCTGATGTTCTTTCAAAGGAGTCCTCACTGACAAAAATACAGCATTCTCATAAAAACCTTGTAGATGTAGTAGACGCAATAAAAACAGTCCTA